ACAATAAATAGATCAATTCAACAGATTACCAATAATTTCAAATAAAGGAGGAATAAACCTGATTTTGATCAAACCAAGAAGCCGGAGACACGGCGGTCTGATTCGAAAATGCTGCCGAATATCCCGACAGCCCCAAAAAATTACAAACACATCTTTTGACCCTTAGTGCATGAAAAGACTAAGGGAATACCCCTACAGGGGTTGAACCTAGAGAAGATTGACTCCCCCTAGGACTGTCGCAACAGCGACCTGAAAAAGAGAGAAGGTCTGTGAAAAAAAAAAAAAATAGGGAAGGGGCTGTAATGAAATAGAGAGAGATATTAAAAGAGGCGGTGAAAGAGAGAGAGATGAAGGAGGCGTAGGTTTGAGGCTCTGATACCAAAAAGTAACTTGGTAAAATTGGCGTATTCAATTTGAGAGCCTGACTATCATTATATACAAGCGGAAAATTACAAATATGGAAAATAGAATAAAATCAAATCAAAATAAAAAGAATAAAATCAAATCAAATCAAATCAGAATAAAAATAAAATCCCTAAAAATTAGCCTATATTGAAGACCCAATAAATCTGGCAGAATCGTTGAGTCAACTTATAGATAAGATTTCCAACACAAACAAACAAAAAAATCTTACTAATTAACATCCCCACTTTCCATTCATTAGTGGTTTGGGTAATAGACCAGCTTCGGTTTGACAAATAAATATGAGTCACAAAGGAGTGTTCTGAAATATAAAAGCAGAGATGATTAAAAGGCATAACTTACTACGAGTGAACACACACATCACAAGATCTTCTAGTTAAATTCAAAAGACTAACATCTAACAACTGCCACACACTAGCGCAACAGTCCTCTATTTGTAACAGCTTCAATTGAATAACATAACAACCATACATCAATCGTAAAACATTTGGAATCCCTAATAACACAAATCAAATCTACATCAATAAATTATCTATATTTATTTAGTCAATAGAAATTACCCTAAAAGAGGGCTGAAAGTCGGCCGGAGCACCACCCTTTTCGCCACCAAACTCATCGGGAGGGCCCCCTCGAGGACCCTCACGGTATCCATCCCGGTCACCAAACCTCGGCCTATCACCTTCAAACCGCGGTGGGCCACTGTAAAATCTACAAAATTAATCACATTTTTACCAAAAATCAAAACTTTGAGAGAAAATTCATAAAACCCATTATGGAAAATGCAATGCGGATGCTGAATTACCGTGGGCGATCGTCGGGTGGGCCGCCCATGGGCCGACCAGTGGGCCTTGCCGACTTCTTCAAAGTGGCGGGAACAATCTCCGATGGAAGATTGAGGTAAAAACATATAGCATATTCTTAATTATGAAGTTATAAACAATAAGTAGAGTGCGATCATGCAGCCCCTGGTTTTGAAAAAGGAGAGAGATATGGTATGTGTAGATATATATATATATATAATGAGATGGATATTTAAAAGGAGTGGAATATAAAAAAAAAAATGAGTAATGATACTTGCATTGATTTGTTGCACCGAATATTTCTGATTGGTTATTTATGTATAGTATATGTAAGTGGAGGGTTCATTTTTTTATTTATGCGATTTATTGTAATGAATTGTTAGACCTATTTCTTTTAATCGATTCATTTATAAACAATCTCCGATGGAAGATTAAGGTAAAAAAATAAATCATATTCTTAATTATGAAGTTATAAACAATAAGTAGAGTGCGATCATGCAGCCCCTTGTTTTGAAAAAGGAGATAGATATGGTGTGTATGTGTGTGTGTGTGTGTGTGTTTATATATATATATAATGAGATGGATATTTAACAGGAGTGGAATATAAAGAAAAGAGTAATGATATTTGCACCGATTTGTTGCACCGAATTGTTGCACCAAATATTTCTGATTGATTATTTATGCATAGTACATGTAAGTGGAGGGTCTACTTTTTTATTTATGCGATTTGTTGTAATGAATTGCCAGACCTATTTATTTTAATTGATCCATTTATGCATAAATAAATAAGTGAGACCCTCCACTTACATGTACTATGCATAAATAATTAATTAGAAACATTCGGTGCAATAAATCGATGCAAGTATCATTACTCGAAAAAAAATTCAGAAATATTTGGTATAATAATTCGATGCAATAAATCAATGTAAATATCATTACTCGAAAAAAAAAAATATAGAGATGGGTGGATTGGACTCGTTACTCTTTAAAAGGAGAGAGTTAAAAATTGGTGAAAAAAAATTAAAAGGTGGCAGCTTTACATATACAAGATTGTCAAATAATGACAAGTATAAAATATTATATTTAGAGCATTGCTATTGTAAGAGTCACATAATTCCTATATTTAGAAATTTGGGGGAGAGAATTAATTAAGAAAGAATCATTTGCAAGTAAGGAAACAAATTAAGTTTTTTTCTCTCTCTTTTCACGTTCTCTCTTTCTCTCTCTTGGTTAACCATCAACCAATTTGACGTAAAATTTTTGTGATGAGGTTATTCTAAAATTCAAAAACGCAAACATATAAAAAAATATAAAAAAAAAAAAATCTCAAATAGAATGAAATAGTGTCACGAACATAATAAATGAAATTTAACTTACTAGAACCCCGTATGTCACCTTTGAGGGTTAACCCATTGAGAGAAAGAGACAGATTAGTTGAGGGTATTAACCAATGACTCAACCAATGAGAGAAAAAGAGAACGTGGAGAGAAGGGAGAGAAAAAAGCTTGATTTGTTTCTTTAATTGCGAATGATTCTTTTTTAATTAATTGTCTCTCCCAAACTCTTAAAAATAGAAATTGTATGGCTTATAAGCTCCGAATTTTGTAAACTTTTTGCGATAGCGCTCTCTCATAATAACACTACTCGTATATTTATTACATTTACAAACATACTTGTACTAAATGATTTTTTTTATTAAAGGCATTGTAAATGTACTAGTGACACCAAATAAAGGAATTACTACTTTAATCCACTTCATTTTTATAAATTAATTGAACTATCCTAAAAGGGAACACAAAATCATATGATCTGTATGAGGTACTGTTTTTGTATTATTAAAGCACATTTAAAAGGGTATGGTGTTATCATCAAGAGTAAAAACTTATAATATGTATACTTGCATATATAACTTATATATATGTGTGTGTGAGAGAGTTTTTATTCCACAAATCTCAAACAGTACTGATTTGATCCCAAGAATAATATTATTTGAAAAAAATCAAGTTATTCTCGAGCTAAGTTGAAATAGGGTTTGCTTAAATGCGTGTTCAGTTCGAACTTTCTAACGAGTTTAAAAATTTGAGTGCAGACTACACACTCGACTTGTCATTATTTAAGAAATTCGTTTAAAGTTAATTTGAACTCGTGTTCAATATTATATTCATGAACTTATTCAATCAACTCTCCACAATCTTATATTCGTGATAATGTTCAAGAGTCTATATTTATGAACATGTACGAGCCTACAATTTAGTTATTAGTGTGATTAAGAGTCAAACCTAATAATATTTGGAATCAATTCCAACCCCAAAAATCGAGTTTGTACTTGCTTCTTTATTACTAATTAGGGCCTGTTTACTAATAGGAATGATTCCTGATTTCTATTGTCAATTCTTAAATTTAAGAAGTAAAAGTAAAAATCATGTTTAATAAAATACTTTCACTTTTTTATTTTAAGAAAATACTTTCTAATTTTATGAAGAGAAGAGAAAGTTCTCACTTTAAATACACTATCCACATAAATTACTTCCTGGACTGTAGCACTAAAAAAAAAAAAAAGTGTCTAACCATCTCTCACCACCACCTCCTCCCCACCATGGTCATTGCCACTGCCACCTCCTCCCTCCTCCCACCATAGCCACAACCACAACCATCTCTCTCCTCTCTCGTACACATCAAAAGGCATCAACAATGTATCCAAATCAACTTCAACTAGTCGCAAAAAAAAAAAAAAAAAAAAACCCCTCGCCGTCGACAACCACCCGCCACCATCGCCATTGCCGACAATATAACATTCAGTTGATTGAGACTTCGAGAGTTGCAGGGAGTGTTCGCACCTTATAATAGCTGAGGCTCTAGGGTTTTGTTCTCTATTCCATGTTTGAATTCGATGTCTTCAGTCTTCTTCCTTCTTCTGAATCTCTGTGTTTTAATTCGTATGATCTGTGATTTATACATATATATACATGTATAGATGTATAAGCGTATGCCTAATATTGCAATTCCTTGATTGTATGCCAAATATCTGAGTGGATCAAGGGATCTATCGTTAGGCTATAATAAATATATATATATATATATATATATATATATATATGTATATGTGGCTCCCTTTAGCTCCGACTATTCTTTCATCTGAAAATAGGATTTCTCGGTGACAAGGCAGATACATCTATTTGTATACATCTGCTGAAATTTGTGCTTGCTTAGTTCGCCATTGAGGAAGCCAAACAATACCCAGACACCTTTTTCAGAGAGAGAAAGATGACTAAGAAACAAAAATAAAATTATAATTTATTAAACTTAATTTCTATTTTTATCCTTTCAAAATATTAAAAATAGAAAAAATTACTGAACATAATTTTACTTTTTATTTCATTTGAAAAAAATAAAAACATAATTTTACTTTTAAAGAAAAAAATAAAAATAAGAAAATGAAAGCGGCAATAGACGGGCCCTTAAATGAGCACATATCGAATTTTAAATGAATCAATTTCAAATGATTCATTTGCTGTCCTAATCTTTAATACCAACATATTTATAAAAAAAAAAAAAAAAAAGAGGCGTAAATCTAGTATGTGATGGTTTATTTTATCTCTTAGAAGATCTCATATGGTATTTTTATTTTTTAAATTCACAATTACAATTATGAATTTTGTAAGTGACAAATGCACTCCGCGTTTAATATGAAATGATTTTAAAAAGAACTGGGTCCAGGTTTGAAGTTTGAACAACTGGACTCTAAACAGTGTCCCTTCGCTTTTTCTCGTGCTCCGTATCAACTTCAAAAAAAAAAAAAAATGAGGTTGAATTTTCTTTGTACGGAAAAACTAAAGCATTGCAAATTCCCCCAAAAAAACAAAAGGGTAAAGCATTTTGGACTTCTATCTTATCCCTCTAGATTCCAACATGTTCAAGTGAATTTTCTCCGATTCTAACACAATCCCTCGCCCCATGGAAGGTATTGCCTCTAATCTAGTTTTCAAATTTTGGGTTTAGTTTCAGTTTCAATAGAACCAGTTCACCCAAAGTCAAGCAGACTATGTGTTTGTATATGTGTCTGTGTGTAGTAGAATTGATTCAATTGCTGGGCTTTGATTCTTTTTATTGTTCTTCCAAAATCATTGTTTGCTGCACCAGCAAAAACTGTTAATACAGTTGATGATCCATCATCAGCACGCTTCACATGGAGGGTTGACAACTTTTCCACGCTGAATACACAGAAGCTATACTCTGAAAGTTTTTCATCTCTACCCTCTTTCTAGATTTTGATTTTGATCCTTATGTTTGATTTTTAAGTTTTTTTTTTTTTTTTGGTCTGGGAAAGGCGGTTGCTTATATTTCCGAAGGGGAACAATGTGGACCATTTATCGATCTATTTAGATTCTGCAAGTTCAGTAACTTTGCCATCTGGGTGGAGCAAATTCGCGCAATTCAGCTTATCTGTGATCAATCAAATTGATAACAATTCCACAAAGAAGCAAGGTGTGTGTTTTGCAGTTTAATTTGCAAGTATCTATATATCTTGTACTATATAGTGCTGATCTCTTTCTTCCCGTGGAACAAGAAAATTCATCCGTACTTTTTATAGATTGAATTTGCAAGTTCTTTATCTCATTTGTCTCTCTTTAATTCTAAGTTCTGATTCTTACAAAACTCCCACAAACTATTCACCAAATCCTTTTGGCAATTTCGTATTAAATCATAGTCCTAGTCATACATACGTCAACCTATTCACATAAGGAATATCAAACTAATGACTTATAAAACATCGACTCAAAAAAATAAAGATAAAAGTTATTTTCTCTGCACAACACTTCACCCCATAAATTTCAATGGATTAAAATCTATTTTTTCTAATTGTCTTTTCTAATTATTTGTTTGAGAGACATGATTTTCAAAGGTGAAGAGGTTTAAATTTTTTTGGAATAATTATCTTTTATTGTTGTAATTAGTGGTATTGGTAAATATTGAATTTAGAAACTAAAATAGTATCAGTGGTTTTGTATTAAAAGGAAATGATGTAAGCGGATTTCTATAATGACAGTTGCATTAGATCTGATGGTCATTATAGAAAGTGCAGATGAATTTTCTTACTCTACGGGGAGCAAGAGATCACTACTCTCTCTCTCTCTCTCTATATAGATATAGGGTTAATTGCATTAAATCCCCTGAACTTTTTTCTCTCTCAAAAAACCTCCATCAACTATTAGAAAGACACTTAACCCCCTAAGCTATTCCAATTGTTGCAAGCCGTTAGATTGCTGTCTGAAATTTAACACTACCTTAAGGCACGTGACACACATGACTTGCCCAATTTGAAAATGCCTAAACTACCCTTGACAGTTAAACCCATTATTATATATACATATACACTATCTATCTATCTACGTGAAAATCCCCAATTTATGTTGAACAACAAATCTTTAAGAGTCACAATTTATGTTCAACAACAAATCTTAAGAATTATTCAACTTGTGTTCTCTTTCTCTATATATCTCTATCTGTGTGTATATATATATATATATATCGGTAAATGCTCACTTGGTAATAGGCATATTAATCATCCATTATTTGTCCTCAATCCATCTTCCACAATTTGTTCATGGGAATCAATTATCTTATTTATTTGACTGGGCGACTGGGCATCAGTTCATTTGTTATCTTGCTTCTCAATTCTCATTTACGCTTGTTTTATCTATGACAATGGATTACTAATTATGTAATCCCCAAAGTGATAGCCTCACAGAAAGGGGCAAAAAAAAAAATCATATAGACAAGTGAGTGAGGACAAAGAGTTTCTTTTTTTGGGAGGAGTGTAATTTGAAATTGCATCTGTGAAGGAAGAGAACAGATGCGGACCATGTCCATACCAAAGAAGCCGGAGCACCTCATGAAGCAAAGAGGGCAATTCGTACTAGGCAAGTAGGGTACCGAGTAAACTCGCTTGCTGTAACTCAAGCTCATTAAGCTGCAGACCGCGATCCATCTCGACGATAAGCGCAAGACGACGATGAGGAACGTCGTGCCGGCGAATCGGCGATCCAGGCACCCTTTTCTATGCTCTTCATCAGGCGCATCGTTGCGCAGGCAGTGTTCGACGTTTGTTTGCTTGCCTCGGTACTCGATTGAGGACTGTGAGATAGCACTTAAAACCCTAGATAGGATCCCTTTGCTGTTGCTGTTGTTATATCTGACTGAGGGAATCGTTTTCCACCCCTTGGATGCCATCTGTGTGAGAGAGAGATGGGGAAGAATTGTTTGGTGCCATAAATTGATGTAAGGGTTGGTTTGGTCACTTTGGTGCCAGTTTTTGTGTAAGGATAAGGTAAGTATGTGTGCTGTCGTTTTTCTATTGGCTATTGGAAATTTCCTTGCCACGTCAACATATTAATTCCCATTAACACAAAAACGTCGCCCTTACACTAAAGGGCTTAAAGGTAATTTTATTTTTTTATTAACGGCTGGTTGACGGATTGCACTGGAATGCAACATTTTTATAGTTTAGGGTTACTTTTAATTTAGGGAGTTTTTTTGCAATTGGGTCATAGTTCAAGGGGGTTTACTGCACTTAACCCATATATATATATGTACGCATAGGCTTATATGTTGTGTGGAAATATATTATTTATCTTTGCAGAATTTGTGCATTCTATTGGTATTATGATTCTAATCGTGTTTTACTACTCTTAATTATATGTTCATTTTAATTTACAATTATTGAATGCCACAGGTGTGGAACTTGGAACTTAGCATAAGTTTTAATTAGAAAAGATGTGGTGAATTGATTTTTTCTTTCCTCGTGATGGTGAAGGATTGACTAAGTAATTAAATAAGGTGAACCTCTACTTTAGTAATTGGTCATGATGTACTAAATAATTAAATGATAATTATCTCTACATACCACCTGATTGTTACTGTTACTGAGTTCGATACTGTCACCTATTCATCAACCTTCTCCGCGATGGATACGTCTCCACGACCATTTTTCCAACAACGCTGACTAAGTTCTCAATTGATCTAATCTGAAATTTACCTGTTCTATCAGCTTACACTGATACCAAAGGCTCATCTCCCTTACCAGTGGTAGAAGGCCAAACACGATACTCAACATTCATCCTAAAGAAGGAGAAGAAATAAGTCAGAATAAGCATCATTAGTTACAGTCAATTAACTGCCACTCAGACAGTAAGAATCTCAATCCTGCAGCCTTTCTTAGAAGTGGTTAATGTGTAAATTGTCTGTAATGAAATGCAATCACATGTTGAATGGCATGGAAATATATCCTTAGTTTTATAATTTTCAGGCTAGAATTTGCCCAAATGTAAGGCATATTGGAGACAAAACTGATTTTGTTGATGCATTGACTGTATTCACTGGAGATACTATATGTTTTTTGTTTTGGTGTTGAAAAATATAAATATTTAATTTTCTTTAAATGCTTATCAGATTGATATGGCATAATACTTCACTGGATAATCGACCCTAAAATAGATTGATTCTGATAATGTTAAACGGATAAATTTTTCATGCAAATTATATCTTTACTTCTTTGTATGTATTGGCTGAGCCGCATATATGATAAGGACGCATTGTCCCCCACCACCAACAAAACAAAGTTTTCAGTGCCATCTTTTAAAAGAAATTAAGGTGGCCCCTGCAAAGTTTTATCTCCAATCCTAAATTCAATTTCTTTTCCATCCTTTACTTGGCACTCCATTTTCAAAACCATACCTCTACTAGTCTATAATCTATATGTCTTATATACTGAAACTATAGGTGTGTGCCTAGTTGTTGAGGTTCACTGTACTTCTAGTTGTAGCCTACAGCCTTTGACCTTTTTGTGTTATATTTTGTGATAATTGTGACTGTTTCCGTTATGCAGACTTTAAACACCGGTTCAATGCACGAGAAAGAGATTGGGGTGGGCTTGAATTAGTGCCTCTTAGTGAACTGTATGACCCTGGTAGAGGTTATCTTGTGAACGATACATGTGTTGTTGAAGCTGATTTCCCTGGCTTCCGTTCAGTTGAACTTAAGGTTGAGGCGGCAAAGACTGCCTCAGGCAGAGATGAAACTTCTAATTCTTCATCTCAAGGGGATATTGATGGGAGGATTAGACAGAATGATTCTGATACTGATACAACCCTGCCTCAGACTGATACCTCGGGCCCTACTCCTGCCAGTAAATCAGCAACTGAAGTGATCAAGTCTTCGGTCCCACCAGCCACTCCAATTGTTGAAAAGGAATCAATGGTTAATTCCCCTCACGCCCAAGATCCGGTCAGCAGCTTTTCTCTAGTCAATCAACAATGTTCTTTTTTTTCTTTGTTTTTTTAAATCTTTGAGAGAGAGAAAAAAAATAATAATAATACAAAAAAAAACACTCTTTGACCTGAGAGTCAGTTGCTAAAAAGAAATTTCTTTTGTAATATTTGTAGGAAGTTGAGTTGCCAAGGAGTCTTCCAATGGGTTCTCCTCTTGAGTCATCTTCATTTGATGACATGGATGCCTATACCTCCAAGTTGGTGTCTGTAGTAGAGACTGATGCACATTTTGACTCCACTACTGAAGGATCGGTCGTCGCCTCCATTCCTCAATCAACTGTTGATGAAGCCAAAAAATTCTTTATAAAGATGTTATCTCGGGACCTATCAGAAATTCCTGATTTTGCCGCACACATTACAGAATCCATCCGTGTCTTGTCAGAGTGTCATGACCTCACTCCAGCCCAGCTTGCACAGCTGAAATCCCTCAAGGTTGAGTTTCCATCAGTTCTCAAAACTTTGACTTCCAACCATTCTTTTAAGGAGGTCGAGGAAAAAATAGCAGAAAAGCGAGGAACACAGAAGTGTTTGGTTGAGCAAGTCAAAATTAATGCATTCGCGTTCCAAATGCAGAGAGCTATTCACAAGGACTTGATCTCGGAGGAGGCAAAGCTTCAACAAGAGGTTGAGCGGCTGCAGGCTGAACTGGCTAAGATTTCCGAGAAGAAGAAAAGTGCTGGGAAAGAGATGAAGCAACTGCATGGGAAGATGGTTAATCTAGAACAGTCTAGGTCCTCTGTTCTTGAGGAGATCTCAACCCTTGAGACCGAGAAGACCGTGGAGAGCTCTCTGTCATGGGTCCAGCAAATGTGGACTGAGCTTAGAGACACATTCATGATACCAAACAATTAATCTCTTTTTATTTGCAAGATGAAAAACTTTTGTTATATTTCTCTCTAAGGGCCGGTTACATTCTACCTTAAATTTCATGTTTTTGGATATTTTTTAACTTATTTCTGGTCGGTTGGGTCAATATTCTTATACTTTTAGTCCTGCAATTCTACTTTAAATTGCCCTTGTTTCTGGATTAATGAATGTGATTATCCTTTTTACCTTAGACCCGTCTTCTTTTATTTTTATTATTATTATTATTATTATTTTTTTATTTTATTTTTTATTTTTTTGTTTGGTTCTGCTATTGATCTATATCTAGCCTTTTCATGGGTTGGTTTCTTCAGGTAAGCCTTTTCACAGTAAGAATTATTTTAGTAACTTATATAGTTATATAATTTCTCGTTTAGAAAAGTATTAGCATATATTATATTGTCGTTGATATTGAAATCTCATAATACTTTACTTTTTCTTCATTCCTAATATTTATAGGGCTCGCCAATAAACATTCTTATATAATTCCAAATATTTTTCTTATAACCACCAAGTAATACAAAAATGTTTGACAAAAATTTTTCTTATATTTTTATAGCTCCACCCACGTACGCGGCTTGGGACCGTGGGATGGTACTAGGGGCGGAGCCAATTAAGGCTCAAAGGGGGCACGTGCCCCCCTTACTTTACTCCAACCTACTATACATAGGTACATATTTTTGGTATATTTATATATATATACTTACATGGTAATTTTAAATAGTGCCGCCCTCAAATTTTCAAATTCTTTTAATTTCCTTTTGAAAAAAAAAAAAATTACATACCCTTCTTCAAATATACAATATATTTTTCTTTTTCTAATTTTTGTTTCCTTTTCAAAAAATTTCTTTTTTCACTTATGTATAATTATGTATTTTTCTATTTTTTTTAAACTTATTTCTTTTATCGATGACATTTATGATTGTATTTAATTAAAATATTATTAATTAATATTTTGATTCTTATATTTGTAACTATATTTTTTTTACAGTATTTATTTAATATATTATTTTACAACTATTTTTTCTTATTTGCCCTTTTAATTTAAAAAAATTATATTGCCATATTTATTAAAAAAAATAAATAAATAAATAACAAGTGCATTGTGCCCCCTCTAAAATAAAATTCTGACTCAGCTCCTGGATGGTACCTCTCTTTTTGATCAGGTGTGGGAGGGAAAATAATTTTTTTTTCTTAATTATAAAGTAATAAATAATAATTTCATTTAAAAAATTAAATTGATAGGAGGATGTCTAAGTGGCAGCTCTAAGTATCCAAGATTCACAAAATAATGTGAAATTGCGACGTATAACGTGTTTTATGTATTACATTAACATATTGTTATATATTCCCTCTGTCCCAATTGTTATCCATTTCATAAACGGTGACTTACAATTATGTGAGTTACAAACAATAAAAATGGAATGGTAGTAATTATTATCATTTTTGTCTTTATTTCTTATAAATGGGTCAACCACGTTTTTTTTTTTTTTTTTTTTTTTTTTTTTTCACTTTTTCTAAGTCATGTATTCTACTTAGATTTAACATTTTTATAAAAATTTCTTGGGCTAATTCTACTTACACACTCTAACGTTTGCCTATATTCCACTTACACCCTCTCTATGTTTTAATATTTCACCTACCTCCCTTGAGGTTTTGGTTTATGTAGCAAATTATCCCCTGACGTTAAGCAACTCACGGTGTGTGTTGATGTCAGCATCAGCAAATTGTTAGAAAGTCAATTTTGCCCTTCTAATGTCTAAAATAACGTCTTTAACCTCGTTCACCAATATGCAATTACAAAACTGTCCTTAATTTGTTAACTCAAGTGTACAATAATACCCTTCCTTTCACTTCAATATATATATATATATATAAGCAATTGTGGAGCCCAAATTGGTCCTTCATTTTGCTGGCTTCAAGCTCTAATTGTTGTGTTCTTAAAGTGGTTTGTCGATTGAGAGAGGCCAAAGTTTCAGTTTGCCCAAGGGTCCAGGCTTACGTAAGCTAGAAAGTCATGGTCGAGGGTTCCGACGTCGAGCCTGTAATCCGACGTCCGGTCACCGAGAGACATTGATTGTGATACCGTAAAGGTTGTAATCCAACACCTGCCGCTGACATCAACTTGTTCTTCAGCTTCGTCTTTCGCAATCAACTTCGCCTTCGATTCTTCGCCATCGACTTCCATTTCGGCAGTGGTGGCGGCGGAGGAGTCGACATCGACTTCGTTTTTCTTCATAGGAATGGAATCAGATTCTTGGGGTTGTAATGGTGACGGTTCGGATGGTGACGAAGTTACAGAGCTATGCTGAATTCTTCTACAGAGCTCTAGCGTGTCTATGGCCGTTCTGAATTAGGTTTCACCAAGGTGGGTTGAGGAATCGCTGCTCGCCGGACTAAACTGGGTTTGGTCAAACTTAGTTTGTTTTAGCTTTGAGAACGACTGAATCGCTGAACTGGGTTTCGTATGACTGAATTATTGCTCGCCGGACTGAAAAAGGAGGAATCCTTAGTTCAGTCCAAATGCCGGACTTCAACGCCGTCGAATCTACGGCCGCGTAGTCATCTTCATAACGTTGGACAAGAACGGGGTAAGCCGGATCAAAGACGCTGGCGGCGAAGTTCACAGCTACCTCGACCTAGTTCAGTCCAGCGATCCCAAGTCCGGTGAAGCTCAGTTCAGTCCGGTGAAGCTTCGCGGTTTGTTCACTGCACGTTGGTGGTCTTGTAATGGAGGATGACGGCTGTGATAAGAACCAGCAAACTATCCTTGCAATTGAATGGCTGGCAGTAAGGATTGAAATTTGAACGGCGGTGTGTCCTTGCAATTAAACAGCAAGCAGTAAGGAGAACGCCTCAGCTGTGATAAGAAGCATCTTTTTTTATGCTTACTATTTGTGTATTATATTGGTGGCATAGTTTCTTTGTCACCGGCAATAATGAAGAAGAAAGGGAAAAAAAAGAAAAAGAAAAAGAAAAAAGATATATATATATATATACAAGCACTATATATATATATATATAGTGCTTGTATATATATGTGTGTGTGTGTGAGTAGAGAGAGAAATTTAATGGTGTTAAACAGAGGGTGTTAAAGTCTTTTCTTTTAAGTTATGAATTTTAGTAAAACAGTAAAATCACACATTTTCGTTGGTAAACTAGATGGTGGTTACTGGTAGGGGGTGTAGGTGGAATTATGAAACGTAGAGAGGTGTGTGTGGAATATAGGCAAACGTTATGAGGTGTAGGTGGAATTAACCCAAATTTCTTATCACGTCAGTCAACTGTCTATGTTGACCTCTCTGTTTCTTACCTTTCTCTTTCTTACTAGACTACTGGTGAATTTCTAGATTGGAGTTAGATATCTCCTACCATCTACGTCTAAAGTAACATTCTTGTAAAATGAGTTTTTGATCGATCGCCTACCGGTGGTGTAGGTTTTTTCAACCGGTTCATCCTCGGATCAACCTGCAGCGTTACCTCCGGTTTAACAGCGGAGATCAATCGCAAACTCCATCTCTAGTTGAAACTATTTTGTACTGATTTGGGTATTAATAGCCATTCGATCCCGTGAATTATTCCATCTGGATGGACCACATCGTCGGGATGACCACCCTCGCAGTACCGACTAACCTGTGCTTCGAATCTTCATTGAGTCCGACCAGTGGCGTAGTCAGAAATTTTCTTCTTTTGGGGGTAATCTTTAATAGCAATAATATATATATATATATATATATATATATATATTATTTGAACCAAAACAATATATGTAAAAATTAAATCATTAATTCATAATATTTCTATTTAATACATTCACAACAATTTTTCAAATTATTCACTATTGTTTCAAAATTGAGTTCATTCAATTAAATGTACTAAAAAAAAATCATATTCAATGAATCAAGAATAAGATATGAAAAAGAAAATAATACAATTACCTAACTGTTCTAATATATCACATATGTGAAAAAAAATAAAAACATAAACTAAAATTTAAAAGGACAACAAGCCCTAAAATAATTTTGATAATAATAACTAATAAATTTTCTAATTAAAATTATAATATCAAATAATAATAAATTTAGATGATAAAAAAATATCAAATTTCCTGTCTGCTTACTATTGACTTAGTCTCTGTCTACTGGTAAATGGTTGCTCCGCTTGCTTTATTTGGATTCTGAAAAATGTTGAAGAGGAAGATGAAGATGTGATGGAAATAATCCATTTGTTTATGGTGAAGTCAAAAAGTGTGGTAGAATATCTTGATGATTTTTTTTTTTTTGGAAAGTGTTAAAGAATATAATATTTTGGGTGGAAAAAATATCATATTTTTTTGGAAAGTATAAATTGATAGATATATTATATATATTTACAATTGTGTCACGATTATATTCCTCTCGTGAATGGGCTTTTGGTTATATATACATATAGTATATTATGTGTGAACTGTCAAATTTTAGAGGGGGCAACAATACAAATATAAAAATCTTTCCATATAAAATTTAAAAAAATTAAAAGTTCAGTGGAGGCAGTTGCCCCAACTTGTCCCTTTGTGGCTATGCCACTGAGTCCGACGGTCTGGTGAGCGAGCATGAAGTGCTGAGTTAGCTCGAAAAATGAGTCGACCTATTCGATTGAATGAATCATTTTAGGGACAATGTGGTGGAGCAAAAGGGTCTGGAGTAGGCCTGTCAACAGATCAGATCGATTAAATCCATATTCGATTTGTTAAGCAAACAGATTATCGGATTCGGATCACTAACGGGTTCTTGGACTAAAAGTCCCAATCCATATCCTATTTAGTTCGGACGCGGATCGAATCGGATTCGAATTCGAATTAAAATCATATTTACTAACATATATAATTTTAAAGTTAGATGAAGCGGAGAATTTCTAATATACTGAATGCTACATAATATAACTATGCAACTAAATGAATATAATGATAAATAATTAATATATATAAATTTAGTAATATATAACTAATATATGTAACATTGATATATAGCATATTGTAAATTATTTACTCTTTGTTAATAAATAAAGAGTATGATATTATTAGTATGTATATTAAGAGATTTATTAGCATGTGAATGAGAACACCACACTATTGTATATATAGCATTATGATTTTTTTTTTTTTTTTTTGATTTTTGGGTTACCTCTAATACAATTTTAATAGGAGTATTGATA